TGTATATATGTGTGTGTATACGTGTGTGTGTGTGTGCATGTGTGTGTGTATATATATATACACACACACACACAATGGAATACTATTCAGTCATAAATAACAATAGCCGGGTGCAGTGGCTCATGCCTATAATCTCAGTACTTTGGAAGGCCGAGATGGGCATATTGCTTGAGCTCAGGAGTTCGTGACCAACCTGGCAAAACCTCATCTCTACAAGAAATACAAAAAATTAGCTGGGTATGGTGACACGCACCTGTAGTCCCAGTTACTCAGAGGCTGAGGTGGGAGGATCACTTGAGCCTGAGAGGTGGAGGTTGTGGTGAGCTGAGATTGCATCACTGCACTCCAGCCTAGGTGACACAGTGAGGACCTGTCTCAAAAAATAATAATAATAACAATAAAATAATCCTGTAATATGCAACAACATGAATGAACCTGAAGGACATCATATTAAGTGAAATAAGCCAGACACAGAAAAACAAATACTGTGTGATCTCACTCACGTGTGGAATCCGAAAAAAAAACAAGAACAAAAACAAAAAATAACAAAGGTTGCTATCACAGAAGCAGAGAGTAGAACAGTAGTTATCAGCCGCTGGGGAGGGGAGATTGGTCAACAGTCACACAATTACAGTTAGACAGGAAGAATAAGTTCTGGAGCGCTGCTGCAGAGCAGGGGTAACTATGTGCAATAGTTATTAGTCATAGTAGTAAGTTCCCTACTTAAACTAAGTTTTCCAACTTATTTCAAACAAACAGGAATCATTAAACTTTAAAGTACATTAGAGAATTAGGGAAGCTTCTTAAAAATAAGATGCCCAAGTCTTGACCCAGACTCAGTAAATTATAATCTTTAGGACCCTGGCGTATTTTAATTGTTCTCATTTAAAAGTATTAATTATATTTAGTTAATAAGTGCACTTTAAAAGTTATTAAAACCATTATAAAAACAAACAAAAAACCAAAAAAACAAAAAAATCCATTAAGCAGATAAGTGTATTCTCTTTGTCTTTGGTAAAGCCAATTCTGCTTTTACACTTAAAACCGACACATTAACAGAGTCAGGCATTTACAGTGTACTGAATGTAGACATCACAATCCCCATCAGCAGGAAAATCCATACCTGATCTGTTCCTACAAGTTTCCCACACTAGAACTAAGTGCACTGCCAACAGGCTATTGGTGTATAATACATTATCACATGAAAATGTGATTACAACAAATACGAGACTACCACTGTCTGCAAGTATATAATGCATTCAACATAAGTTATGCAGGAACTTTCTCAAATTTTAAGCTAGTTTCAGTGGACATGAGCTCATTCAAGGACCCTGAATGGTATGGTATAGAAAGAAATAATTACTGCATAAAATAACATGAAAAGAGAAACAACAGGATAGTACCAAAAGCTGAGGAGTGGAAAGGTTCTATGTGAGAGGTGGCAGCATCTTTTCCAAGAAACTTTAAGGTGAATCAAGCTAAGTCTGTACTCAGATCTTAAACCATATGGTATCGTTATTATTAGTGTTGGATTGCCCTAAAAGGGGAACACCCGGGGGCCTACCTCAATGATTTGCCCAGGTGGGCTTGGTTTCATTTATTTCTCTGACATTCTTAAGCATCAGTGTTGGATTACCCTAAGGGACTTCCTCAGATCGCCTGTGCTGTGCATTTTCCCACAAGTACACAGGCAAGGGAGAGGAATAAAAAGAACAACTCAAAGCTACTAAAGCAACCACAGAAATGCAGGTCAAAATGAAAGGGCTCTGAAACTGCTGAGAAAGGAAAGAAGTGAAAACAGCAAAAAGATGGCAGCCAAATGCCAAGAGAGATTCAAGGGCAACTCAGATGTGTAAAGAAAGAGGTTTCTGTTCCTACCAATTTGTGTTTATGCTCACAAATGTGTGCCTGCATGATCAATTATACTCCGCACTGTTGGCCAGCTTTTCTTTTCTCTTTGGAGAAACGTTCCAAACGTTGAAATCCTTCTTTTTCTGGTTCCCCTACTTTCTTTACAATGAGTTATCTACAGCATGTTGTTTTCCTCTAGAGTTTCCATTCTTCAACCTCTTGTCTTTTCCCCCACTATTCCCTTCCTTTAAAAATCTTATCTGCAGCCAAGGCTTCAATTACCTCCTAAATGAAAATGACTCTAAAATTACATGTTTAGTCCCATCTCTTTCTTAGAAAGAAGTTACAGATTTCTTTCTTTTTCTTTCTCTCTCTCTTTCTTTCTCTCTTTCTTTCTCTCTCCTTCCTTCCTTCCTTCCTTCCTTCCTTCCTTCCTTCCTTCCTTTTCCTTTCTTCTTTCTTCTCTTCTTTCTTTCTCTTTGTTTCTCTTCTTTCTTTCTTCTTCTTTCTTTCTTCTTCTTTCTTCTTCTCTTTCTCTTTTTCTCTCTCTTTCTTTCTCTTTTTTTTTTGAAACAGAGTTTTGCTCTTGTTGCCCAGGCTGGCGTGCAACAGCACAGTCCTGGCTCACTGCAACCTCTACCTCCCGGGATCAAGCGATTCTCCTGCCTCAGCCTCCCATGTAGCTGGGATTACAGGCTCCTGCCACCATGCTCAGCTAATTTCTGTATTTTTAGTAGAGATGGGGTCTTACCATGTTGGCCAGGCTGGCCTCAAACTCCTGAGCTCAGGTGATCTGCCTGTCTCGGCCTCCCAAAGTGGATTACAGGTGGGAGCCACCGCGCCCTGCCAAACTTACAGATTTCTAAATGCCTCCTGGCTAATCTCCATCTGGAGTTGGATTCAGTGTTTCCCAGATCAAACATATCCAGTTCCTTCCACATTTGTTTCTTCTCCCATACCTTTGACTTCTGTCAATAGCACAGTTCTCTCAATCATGTCCACTTCTCCCTCTTCTGTACCCTTACCAGTTCGCAGGCCCTGTCTAAAGCATCCCTAAGGGAAAGCACATGCCATTCGCTTTCGTAAGTTCTCCTCCTCAATTACCCCTCATTAACTCTTTTCCAGACTATTGTAAAAGTGTCCCAGATAGGTTCCATCCCTCGATCAATTCTTTATATTACTGGCAGGTGATTTTAACGACCCAGTTTGATTTGTCTTTCTTCTTTTTGAAATCCTTCAATAGTTCTCCATTGCCTGTCAAACTTAATTCAACTATATTTCTATAAAAATAATAACTTTATGGAGCCCACTATGTGACCAGTGCTTTACATATATAATTTTACTTATTTCTCCAAAAAGCTTATAAAGTAGGTATTATACTATATCCTTGAAAATGAAATCAATTTTATAAGTATGAAATATTAAAATAGTTCTATCAATTATGAATATTCCATTGATTCAATAACCTCTTTTTAAGTAGTAAAGAATTATTACATTAAATATACACACTAAGATTTTTCTTGATTTAAAAAAACACTAAAATGAGAAAAAAATAATGTGAATCTTAGAAACTAGTAAATAGAGTATCACCCCCATTTTAAGCTAAGTCAACGATCTTTCCAATATACTATATTCCCTTTTCTTTGACCTAGGATTACACTTTTTAGTCTTATTTCCCTATCTTCCTCTTTATGTTCCTTATGTTCCTTACATTTACCCAGTCCTGGGCCTTGGCGTTGATTTCTGCTGTGCCTGAGTTCCTCCTTACTCTACATGCCCAAAGACAACCAGGCTTCAAAGCCTAGCACAACAGCTGCTCCTTTGGCAACTCTTTTCTGATTCGCCAAATTAAAATGACCTCTTATTCCTCTGAACTACCGTACATTTTGCACTCTTGTATGAAACTACTCTTTGTATCTTGTGCTAGGGTTACTTATACCCTTTCTCTCCATTAGCATATGCTTCTTCAAGACCTAGACTGTAATTCACACATCTTGGCACAACTACTTCCAATGCTTTCCTCCTATCCCCACCATAAAGCCCAGCAACCTCTTGCATATAATAGGCTCTTTAAAACTATTTATCATTTGGCTGGATGCAGTGGCTCACGCCTGTAATCCTAGCACGTTGGGAGGCTGAGGTGGGTGGATCGTTTGAGGTCAGGAGTTCGAGACCAGCCTGGCCAACATAGTGAAACCCCGTCTCCACTAAAAAAATACGAAAAGTAGCCGGGTATGGTGGCACATGCCTGTAATCCCAGCTATTCAGGAGGCTGAGGCAGGAGAACTGCTAGAACCTGGCAGGCAGAGGTTGCAGTGAGCTGAGATCATGCCATTACACTCCAGCCTGGGCAAAAGAGTGAGACTCTGTATCTTAAAAAAAAAAAAAAAAAAAAAAAAAAAATCATTTGGATGACTAATCAGAACACATTGAATGATTTTTCTCTATTATTCATTATGACCAAATGAATACCGGTTATTGTCAAGTCACCAATCACGTCACCACTACTCAGCCAAGAATTGAGATGTCATGTTTCAAGAGATGTTCATTCTTCTGCCATGATCCAGTCACAATTGATGGGCCTGCATAGTAGCACTTTTCTAAATCCAAAATGTTTTTGAAGGATTCTCTGTAAGCACTTAGGCTAAGCACACCTTGCTTTAAAAAATATAAAATCCTTCTAAATAACAAATGGAAGAAATGTCCTGTGTGCTAAAATGGAAATTTTTTTTTTGTCATTTTGTTCTTGCTACTGCCTGGAAGAGAAGGAGTTGCTGGAACCTTAAATATGTCTTGGCCCTGGCCCTAGTATTTCATAGGAAACTGTTATTTTTAAAAAACAGTATTTATCAGGTATTGCAACTTCAGACATTAGTAAATGATGCTGTGTTGGGTTTTTGGTTGTTCATGTTTTATAGGTTATGGCAAAATCCTGTGATGATCTATCACTAAAACCCTTCGTTTGGGTGGTAGAGTTCACAAAAAATTTTAAACACCTTGCTATAGACTGAATATTGTGTCCCCCTAGAATTCATTTGTTGAAACCCAGTTCCCAATGTGATGGTATATGGAGGTGGAGACTTTGGGAGGTGACTAGGTCATGAGGTTAGAGCCCTCATAAATGAGATTAGGGCCCTGGTAAAAGAGACCTGAGAGAGCTCCTTGGCTCCTTCATTCACGCGAGGACACAGGGAGAAGATGGCCATCTATGAACCAGGAAGCAGGGCATCACCACATATTGCATCTTCTGACATCTTGATCTTGGACTTCCCAGCTTTCAGGACTGTGAGAAATAAATGTATGTTGTTAATAGCACCCAGTCTATGATATTTTTGGTATAGCAGCCTGAATGAACTAAAACATACATTTTCTCATTTAGTCCTCAGAACAACTTATTGATGTGGATATTAATATGTAAACTTTGCAAATGAGTAAACCGAGGCTGAGAATTATTGAAAAATCCTTTCACCTAAGGTCATATAGCTAATAAATGGAAGAGGTTGGATTTTAATCCAGATTTTCTCACTTCAGGGCCTAAACACTGTCTATAATACAACATGGGAATGCATATAAGAAGTTGGTGTTTTCAAGTATGGGGCATTCATAGAAGAGTCTGACAAACTGCTGTTATGTCATGATCTTTGAAATGACACCAAGAGTGAATATTCCTGAAAGGCTGCAGCTTGGACATGCACAGAATCTATGTGATTTTAAAATGTGTTTCCTCAGTCTGTTACTGCTTAGATTCTAAGGAAATCAGTATTCTCTAGTCCCTCAAACCTCTTCTCCAACTTCTCCTATTTCCAGATATCTGGCTAGGAATTTCTGTCACAAGAAAATGAGGTTTGTGTCACCTCATATCTCAATTTCTAAAAATTTCCCAACACCATAAATGGTGATAAAATGTGAGGGTTCGAGAGCTACATGGATGGTTTTCCAGTCTTTTTAAGGAAAGAGCCTTCTGTCTATTCATACCCTCAACCAATGTATTGATTTATAAAAAGCTACCCACAAACAGGGAGAAAGTGATGGCACCAATGTTCAGACCCACCTTGTCCAACTCAAATACACTTTCATACATAGGACCTCCTGCCATTCTCCATTCTCTTTCCACTATGGTTAGTATTGTTATTGGACAATAATGCCAAAGATGAAAAGGAGAAACACAGGTTTTTAAACCACATCAAGGAAATCTTTGAAACAAACCTATATTGGTTGGCTAACACTGGGGGATTTCACAAAAATTTGTAAAATATTATGTTTCCTTTTTATAATGACCTGGAGAGATGGACATCACTATCTCAATTTCATGAATGAGGATACTGAGTTTCAGCAAGGTGAAGTAACTCACCCAAGATCACATAGCCAGAAAGTGGAATCCAAAGTCTCTTTTTCTTCAAAGTCAATGCTCTTAATGATTCTACTATAATGCTTCTCAGATTTTTTATATGATATTAAGATGTAGATGAAGTCCAATATTATGTATCCCCAGGTTATGTTCACAAGGAGCTAGGAGATATAACAAAAGACAAAAATGATTCAACCCTTCCATTGGTTTCTATTTCCTCCTTCATCTCAAGAATTACTGTTAGTTAAATTCTCAGTCACAACTATCTATATACATGTTCAACACATTGAAATTTTAAAAATTTCAAACATTTTATTGTTTTGAAGAGAACAACAACTGCTGTACAACATGTACAGGGAATGCTGAGACCCACCTGGGTGGCAGGCTTCACCTAGACTGGTAAGAGGCAAACTTGCTCACAGTGTACACAGGAAACAAACACTGCCTCCAACCCTGTTTTCCATCAATTCCTGTGGCTCTGGACTACCGACCAATGACAAAAGTTGATCACTTCAAGGAAACATTTCCACAACAGCATGCAATTTTGATATCTGGTAATTTCCGGAATGGTTTAGACAGGTTAAAGAAAGGAGAACACTTAAAGAAAGGAGAAACATAAGCACTTAAATTGGTCATGATAAAACAGGACAATGGCTGGTAGAGGTATTCTGTCTGGGCAGCATGGTGCCATCTTTGTACTAGAATACTTGTTTAAGTAATTATTAGAATAATTTGATGGGTTTTATCCATATACATCTATAAAAGCAGGGCTGAAAATAAATTCTGATACTGTTGATGAGAAGGCTTAGTTTCATAAACTTAACACAATTAAGATTAACATGGAAAACAGTGGGCAAGCCAAAAGCAGATAAACTTTTGCCTCAATTGGATGATGGTTGGATGTCAGCCAGTATTTCATGGGTCTAGTGGTGAAAGGAAAGCATTAAAGAACAAACACAAGGCTGGAAATATATGATTAAAGACTACGTCTAAAAACATGATGTATTTAGGGATTTTATAGTATTTTTGGTTCACTGGTACTAGAACTCCATTTATAATTATTTGGTTCTTGCAGGTTTGTTCATATTTTCAAGAATGCATTATGCACTGATGTACGTAGAAAACTGCCTATACCTAGTTGTTTTGTCTCTATCTTTATTCATTTAAGCTAAACAAACAAATTGGATGTCAGAGTAATGAACACTGCAGAATAAGCAAATGAAAAATAAAACAACTTTAGATTCAGGAGCCGGGGCAAGCAACCAGATTTCTGTACAGAGAAGAGCTGAGGTTAACGCAGCTGCAAAAAACTAGGCGCACGCACGTGGCTTTGCTTGAGAGACAGGAAGCCTTTCCAGGATTTCCAACTTCTTTCAGATGTTGTGGGGAATAGTTAAAGGCACTAGATACATGAATTGAATTGCATTTAACTCTGTGTTTTAAATAACTGCTAAATAAGAACTCCCAGAGCACCATGTCTATTCCCATCCCCAGGAATTTCTTGAGCTGGGAGGAATGCCTGCCAGTGAGCCTAACTCTGTCCTCAGTTTACAGTCACAGTTTTTCTCTTCACTCAGATACCCAGAAGGCTTCTCTTAGGTGTGGTTTCATCCAGCCAGCCCTACCTGTCTTAATCAGGCTGCCTTCCCCAGTACTAAATAAAGTGGAAAGGAAACTTCTACCCGCACACTCATCGGGGACTACAAGACCCAACTCACATCCTGCAAACCTCAGGATGGAACACGACTCCTTTTAACTACCTGGGCACAGTAGCTGACTATCAGGAAACTGCCCGTGGCCTCCACACATTGCCACACTATTTACACAGCTGATGGAAGTTTGCCCTGGTTGAGGAATTTGGCTCTAGAGGATTCCCCTTAAAATTCCCAAAGGGCCTATTCACCCTGTCACACCCGCACAGATGCCTGTGGAGATAGCAACAGTGGGGTTCATTTTCTAACTCCTTCTGTACACAATTATAACTCTACATGTTTATTTAAAAGTGGGGGGTTGGAGAAGAGCTAGGGGAGCTGCAAAATCTAACATTATATGAGATATTTTCAAGAAATATTTTGAGTAAAGTCAACAACCCCCTTCCCCTGCCTCTCAGACATTCCTCAGCTTCACTCAGCAGCCCAAACTCTGCCCTCCACACTCACAGGCATGAAGCAGAGCCAGGACGTGACTCCCAACAGAAAATGAGCCTTTCTAAGGCAGAGGGAAAGAAGCTGAAAGAGTCAACCAACCCTCAAAGCAAAGAGGGAGAAGCAGTAAAGCAGAGGGTCAACATTCTTCTCCTTTAATAATTTAAAGCCCTGCTATTAGCAGAGGAAAAGAAAATATCAGACACATGATTGTATCATGACAATAAGGCACAGCAGAGGTGATAAGATGAAGGGAGTAATTTCCTGAAGCCCTTCTTGCTTTTTTAAAGATAAGGATCAATTCTTATTCTTTCAACTACTAAAACGTGATAGAAATGGCAGTAAGCTATTAATTTTGCAATTGCAGTGGCAGGCCCATCCTGGCAGTGGTGGGGCCTGCCTTCCCTAGCTGTGAATGACCTCTTTCACTAGGAAAACTGTTCAGGAAACAGCTCTCCATTTGGAAAGAGGTGTATATGAGAGGCAAATGTATATCCAAAATGTTCCCTTTCTTAATTTCCTTCTCCTCCTCCTAATTTTCTCCTAGCCTAAGTAATTAATCTTCTTGTGTTGGTCAAATAAATTCCATTTAAATCAGTTCATTCTAAAGTAGAAGAAGAGGCAGAAATGGTGGAGAAGGTGGGAGGAGGAGGAGATGGAGAGGGAGGGGGCGGGGAGAAGAAACTGATCTTCCCATGCATTGCCCACTTCTTTCCTTCTGAGGAGGCAAAAGTCTAGTCTCAAGTGTGTGGGTTTAGATTTTGGTGCCAAACTCCCTGAGTTTGACTTGGCTTCTGCCAAATGACTGACTATGTAACTTTGGCACTGGCATGTCAACTTTCTTATTTGAATCAATGTTCTTGCTCATAACATGGGAGCAACAATAGTCCCAAACTTCTGGGGTGGTTGTGAAGATTGAACATAACACACCTTGAATAGTATCTAAAACAAAGTAAACGCTGAGTACGAGTTTATGACTACTATTTGCTATGATTTGAATGTGTCTCCAAAAAAACCATGTGTTGGCAACTTAATTGCTACTGCAGGAGTATTAAGAGGTAGGACCTTTAAGAGGTAGGAACTTTAAGAGGTGATTAGGCCATGGTGGCTCTACCCTCATGAATGGATTAATGCCGTTTTCTCAAGAGTTATCTTGGGAGTGGGTTCCTTATAAATGGACAAGCGTGGCCTCCTTTTGTCTCTCTAGCCCTCTCACCTTCTACTATGGGATGATACAGCAAAAAGGCACTGGCCAGATGTGAGCTCGGTATTGATATTGAAATTCTCAGCCTTCAGAACTGTGAGCTAGTAAATTTCTGTTCGTTATAAATTCCCCAGCTTGTGGTATTGTCACAGCAGCACAAAATGAACTAAGACATTATTGTTGGCTCCTCCATCTCTCAACTGTCAGATTCAAGGCAGATCATGCAAGAACAGAAGGCAAACAACACTAACTAGAGATAAAAGTCACATATAGAACATACAGAATAGCTCTAAATCCTTACTAGAACAGAAGCAAATGGAAGTAAATACAGTCACTCTTTTATTGAAAATGTAAATATGATATTAAACTGGTAATTACAGGCTTATGATTTGTAAGAGGTGGGGAGAAAATAGTCTTTCTGTTTACATGACAATAGGCAGAGCTTTATTTGAGAAATTAAGGAGAACTTAGAAAAAAGCAACTAAAAAAACTACTGAAGGAGTTTTTTTAAAAAAGAAGAAGAAATAAACAAAGAAGAAAAGGTTAATGAATAAGCAATAAACTAACCTCATGTTCAGCTGATCTCTATAATAACACTGGTGTTTGGGGACAGAAATAACTTCATATTATAGGCTTTCTGGGATTCAGGGAGGGAGCTGCACTATAAATTACTCTGTACTCTGGGGATTGAGTTAGACCCACAGTGTAACTCAATCTCTGCCCTCATCCATCTCAAAAAGTCCAGCTCAAACCTTTTCCCATTCTCTCAGAGGAGAAATTTGGCCTGCGGTTAAGAGCGAAAGAGGCCAGAGTGGAGAACACCCGGATAAGAGTACTGGAACCACCACTCACCAGCTATGTGTTAGCAGGTTAGCAACCTCACTGAGCCTCAAGGTCCTCATTTCAAAAATGGGGCTACTAATAGTACCTATGTCAAAGGGCTGTGTGAGCATTCAACATGAGAATGCGCATTGTGGATAAAGGTTTTCTACCAGAGGTTGGCACCAGGCAGAACCTAATCCAATCATCCATTTTACAGATAAGAAAACTAAGATCTAGAGAAGTTGAAACTGTCCCAGGGCCATACAGTGAGTTTGATTCAAAGTCTGGAAACCTAAATTAGAACCTTAGTCCTGACTCCTTATTCAGTGTTTTTGCACTAAATATGCTTTTGCCTCCACAAGGCTTCACAAAGACTCTCCCACATTGATTTTGTCCTTTGCCGAACATCAAGCGCATTTTCAACCAGTACCATCAGGATAGCATTTGAATACTCTCTATGACTGCATTCCCTCAACTGCATCATAAGTTCCTTGAAGTGACAAAAGTGGTTTAACAGCTCTGTCTATCTAAAGATGTCTATTCAGATACTGGGCACAAAATTGATTGATAGCAATTGATTGATAGAGAGGTTTCTTTAGGAAGAGCTTTTACTCTGAATAAAATATTCCTGTGAGGAAGATGCCGACCAGCCATCTAGGTCTGCAGAAGATGAGACCAGAGGAAATGGATTTTGAACATGCCCCGAGAGACCTATAAAAAATTAACTGCAAGGGAGTTTAAACACAGGAATAACAGAACAGAGAAGGCTGAGGGCTCTCTCCTGAAATGAATGTTTTAAACAAAGACAGTCTATTTTTAGATAAAATAAGTTGACACAGGCCATTGGTTCTTAACCTATAGTCTTTAAACCCCAAATGTTGCTGTTTTTGCTAAGGATCTGCAAATTAATTTGCATATCAAACATTGTAGAATAAATAATATCTTACACTTATATGCAATGCCTTTTTTCAAATCCACATGGAGAAATATA